TCAGGAGCCCTCCCTGGGCTTAACTGGGGATCAGGAGCCCTCCGTGGGCTATACGAGGAATCAGGAGCCCTTCCTGGGCTTAATGGGGAATCAGGAGCCCTTCCTGGGCTTAACTGGGGAACAGGAGCACTTCCTGGGCTAAACGGGGAATCAGGAGCCCTCCCTGGGCTTAACTGGGGATCAGGAGCCCTTCCTGGGCTTAACTGGGAATCAGGAGGCCCTTCCTGGGCTTAACTGGGGATCAGGAGCCCTTCCTGGGCTTAACTGGGAATCAGGAGGCCCTTCCTGGGCTTAACTGGGGATCAGGAGCCCTTCCTGGGCTTAACTGGGAATCAGGAGGCCCTTCCTGGGCTTAACTGGGGATCAGGAGCCCTTCCTGGGCTTAACTGGGAATCAGGAGGCCCTTCCTGGGCTTAACTGGGGATCAGGAGCCCTCCGTGGGCTATACAAGGAATTAGGAGCCCTTCCGGGGCTTAACGGGGAATCAGGAGCCCTTCATGGGCTTAACTGGGGAACAGGAGCCCTCCGTGGGCTATACTCGGGAACTGGAGCCCACACCGGGCTGGATTCGGGGACTGGGAAGCGCTTACGAGGAGCTGGCACTGGAGGGTGCTCTGGAGGAGCAGGCACAGCAAGGCGCTTTCGAGGAGCTGGCACTGGAGCGAGCTCTGGGGCTGGAGCCGACACTGGAGCGAGCTCTGGGGCTGGCAGGCTTGACTGAGGAACCACCGGCGGGCTTGCCACATGAACGCTTGAAGGGCTTGCCACATGAATGGCCGGCGGACTTGCCACATGAACGGTCAGCATTTTTGGGCTGAGGACTATCGTGGAGCTTCGGAGGATTCGGGGGTGTTTGGGGCTGAGCAGGCGGTTCGAACCGTTGGTGCGGTATGTGGGGGTTCCTGGTGTGGAGTGAGCTGACGAGACGCGGCGTGCCTCAGAGGGGACTGGACGACGAGACTGAAACTTTTCCCTTATTTCTTCAACTTCATCATTGGAACCGTTTAAATATAGAACAAGATTAATCAGCTCGATCAGAGGATAATTACACACAGGAAGATCGCAGCGGATCGTCTCGCCGTCCAGTCCCAGCTGAAAGCACGCACCAAGAGCGGCGTCGTGCCAGCTCAGCTGGTTAGCAAGCTCTAGGAAATCCTCCACATCCCGCTCCAACTTCCGACCAGCCTGCCGCAAACCCCACAGCTTGTCCTCAGCCGTCATCTTACTTGGTTCGGTTCTTCTGTCACGTTGTGACTGTGAGGGAGCACGGAGCAAGGAACGAGGAGACCAGGAGTACATCAACGTAGGAGATTTTAATGGGAACCAGGAAAACACATGGAGTACGTGGAGACATTCACAGACATCAACAGGTGCACATTCAGTGTACGACATTCAAGAACCGACAGCACTAACTGAAAGGACTGGGGTTTTTAAACACAGGATAACGAGGGACTAAGGAGACACACCTGGAATCAAATAAACAATCAACATGAGGAAGAAACTGGGTCACATGGGGCAAAACACACACAAAACATGGAACGGAGTCTGACA